AAAAACGTGTTCTAATATGGGCGGAAGTTGTGCATTGGCAAGGGGGCTGCTCACCATGTGTACGGTCCACGGATCGAATCAATTCCTGGATGGTGCGCCATCCAGGCCAGTCAAGTTTTCCAATAGCTCGTCAATAGAACTTAAGAGAAGTATGAAACTATCGCATAATCCAAGTTCATTTTTTGCTTGACTTGTGAGGCTGGGTCGAATTGTGACTGATCTGCAGCCAATCCGTACCTGATTTCTGGAACCGGTTCGGGGCACCCCAGGTGTCGCCAAGCGCGAGGGCGACGGAGATGAGACAATCAAGGCAGTCGTTTATCCGCTCTGCAGCTGATGTTTCGCGCTTCTTCGCTATTTCTGCTGTTTAGCCTCGCTAATGCCGGTAAGTCCAATAGCTATCACATGTCATCAAGGGATATAAGGTCAGTTGGACCATTGATGCTATACCCATGGTTTCTTACCCAACCAAAGCAGTTGAAATTACAGTTTTTTCCAGCGAAGACACCGCAAAGTCATATCAGAGCACATTGATTTGCACTTCTCTTTTATCTTCATAAATAAAAAGAACACTTAGAAATTCTTAATCAAATTTCTCATTGTAACATTATTCATTTCCAATTTGGTCACTTTGGTGAAATATTTGTTAACTTTACTTGAACAGAAACTACGAGCCAAAAAATCACGAACCTTTCAGATCTGATAGACGTGGTATGCGAGAGGCATCCCTCCTTGGCATACTGCAAAACGAGGACGATTAGACGAAGAGAACCCGAACGACCACAGGATCCGTTTGAGGAGAAATTTGAGCCAACATCAGAGAAGGTACATTACCTAGAAATTTTTTTTCATAAATTTGACGTAGTAACCACGCTTTGAAACAACTTTTGGAGGGGTTTTAAGCGATTGGTAATTCTGAATCTTAATGGGCCCTATGTGTATGAAGCCCATCCTCCCCACCCATTTCAATTCCTACATGTTTGTATTGAACAACGCGATCGTAGGAACTAGCTGATATGAGTCGCGTTCATGGTCGCTCATTTTATCGCGCGATTCGCTCGTGTGCATTGCGCGATTGGCGCGATCGATACTGTCGATATCTGTATTTTCACAATACCGTAGTAATCTTCGACATGGGGCCTTATTGTACTCAGTGATCCTTTTATCGAGTTCTGCACCCTAGCAAAGTTCCACCTCCTGCGACAGCAGGCGAACGTGTGCGACAACGGTCGATTTTGTCCCCTATTACTCCTCTGATCAAGTACTGTTTTCTAGTGAACTGTGGCTCATTTTTGCGCACTGCCGCCTGCTGCATGTCAATCGAGGCCATATTCTAACCGGGAAGCATTACCCAATACAAGAAATCTTTAAGTACCCAAGGAGTTAAAGTCGAGGAGTGCCATTGGTGATGTAAAAAAAACTTTCTACTCCTGCGAATAATTGCAGTCCTGGTAGCGCGGTCCAATCGACGGCTATGAGCGCGACCTCGCATTGAAATTTTTATCTTTCCTAGTCTGATGAGATGCCCCATGGTTTGCCCAGGACAAAAAACCGCATACTGAGCCTTATCTGACATGACAACACTCTAATCGAAATCTTCCATTGCTTGCATCGATCGTTCCAGGAATCAGACCGTGAAGACAATGAGGATATCTCTCTTGAACTTGAAGAGGAGACAACAACTTATCGGTAGGGCTTTAATAAGCTACTCTCAAGATATAGCGCCGTTTCAGATCACCTATGGTCGTGTTTTTCAGACCCCGTCGTTCTACCACACCAGTGCCACTTCCACGACAGAATCTCCTCTACACAATACTTCCCACTCTACAAAAGGAGAACGATTGGAGAAGGTATATTAGCGTCGTCGCATCTTCGCCCATAACTCAAAATGGAATCCCATTAGGGGAGAATCCGGGTTCAAAAGCTTTTGGACTCGATATTAATCTTGTGGTAGGCTGACCACCACAACAGATCACAAAACCGCTCAATCTTCTTGAGGTTTGTAAGACCGGCTCCGTTCCAGTGTCGTTCATAAATTGAATCGAACCCACTTCTTGGATTCTTCAGTCTTGGTCACATATTGTCGATCGCGTCTTATGGCTTGCAGATCATAAGATCTAACGCCGGGAGAATCAGGGAATAAGTTCATATTTTACGGTGCTCCACAAGAGAACACAATAACGAGAGGCATACGGCACGCTCGTTCCGTCACTCAGATCGGGATCATCCCTGTCCGGTAAAATTCCCCATTCATCAGAAGCGTTTATTGGAAACAACTTGTTGGAAGGAACGGAAGCACCGACATGACCTAGGAGGGTGTCGAATAGGAGCATACAGTGCAGTTCTTGAAAATAAATTCGGGGCCTGAAGGTATCAGCCCGATCCGTTGTTCTTTTTCACCAAATGCAAATCATGCTAAGCATCCTTGTAATGGTCCCTTCCTCGAAGGTCACTCTATTATAATTTTTATATTTATTACATTATTACCAGCAATTATTCAGATATTGCCCTGTCAATCAGTACACTTTCCAAACTACTTGCCTGCCTGGTAAAAAGCTGAGATATGACCTTCAGGTTCGTATTTTTTATTTAGAAAATGTGTTGAAATGAAAATGTGGGTTCAAACTAGTCGGATATGTATGCCAATTTTTCGGGTACTGTAGGCGCGAAATGTATGTACGTGAAGACTACTGCTCGCTGCTGGTGTTACTAGAACAGAGGAGATTCGTGAGTCAGGGGAGGTAGCCAATTCAGAGAGGGGGGGGTCGGGTGAGGGGCCACCACTTCCACCACAAGTGAAAAGCTGTAATGTGTACAGCTTCGTAGCGTCTCGTCACGTCATAGTGGCGGGCAGCAGACCTCAAGTACATACATTTCGTGCCTACCGTATTCCAAATAAGGGCATGCCCGTTCCACCTCCATTGTACCAAATGCGTTCAGAAAGAACAGCTGGAAAATTTGAAATTACCTATATTTTTCTTCCCGACGTACGATCGATTGAAACCGTATAAAAAGGCGTCTCAGAATACTCACACGACATTGTTGCGTATTCTTGACCTAAAAAAACCATTTTACCCAAGGGAAAAACATGAGACAGTGAGAAACGCTATGATTGCAAAGAAAACGACCACACATTTTACAAATTTGACTTGTATCTGCATTTTGTAAAGAGTCGTAACTACACAGTAATAAGGTAATCATAACGTATCAACAAGAAGCGCTTACAGATCTTCTGTCAAGAATTCTCGGAAAAGTGTGGAGTGCCGAATGTCAATCTGTTCCCGAGTCGCCGTTCCAGCCAAGTGGACGAGGGTCGGCCGAAGGGCTACGGTCAAAAACAACAAAATGGCCAGCTTGGACTTGGAAGAAGCTTCGCCTTCGGATTGGGAGCCATACCGGGTCAGAATTCATTTGGTTGCTCACTTTTCATTACGTCCTTCCACTTCATTATTCTTGGCGGAAGTAGCACTTCGGCAAGTGGCGCCACGGTCACACCGATGGGGGTCAAATTTCGAATCGAATTGTGCCCACGTGACCATACTTTCCACTCTTCCAACTGGCATGAGACTAGTTCGAATGAATAAAAACAGTAACGTTCACATTGGTCGACCGCTGGGCTGTTAAATGTAAAGGGTTTACAACCGTCCTAAAGTGAATGCATGGCACATTCCAAGAAGAACTGGCTGGCGAACACTACCGTTCTTCTTTTTCGCATAAAAAAGATGAAATAATTACAACAGAAAATTAAGTGACTGCTTTCAGGCTTCGAGGTTACATCTAGTCAAGGAACAGACATTGGAAATGGAAACCTCCCATTCCTCAATCAGGTAACATCTCAAGGACGAGTAGTGGGAACATGTACATATTTGGCGTTGCTCAGTATGTAATCAGTTACCCACCAGAGGTATACCTCAACTATGATACCGCGGTCGGGCCTGTTGTATATGCAAACTCAGGAAAAAATCGACATTGCGTTAACTTTTGAAAGCTGTGATCGCTTTATGTCTGATAGAATCAGGGTCGGTCCTATCGTTGTTACTTTTCGAAAAAATTTTACGACCCCCCTCCCCCAAGGTGGATTTGATACGACCCCCTTTTCCCTACCTCCACCATCTCCATCTTCCCATCAAAACCCCGCCCACTTTTTCCTCCAAAAATGCCGTCGAGCGGGGGAATATATACGCGCGCTGAAACGGCAAATTTTCTCCCGCGCCGCTCCCCACTCATCACATGCAACTTCTTACAACCGAAGCAACGACCCCCCCCCTCTACAAACTCATCAAAATACGACCCCCCCGTTGCTACTTGTAGCAACATAGGGTAACCCTGCTTAAAGTCGCCTATCCTGCAATCACTACGCCCTCCAGCCACGGGAAATTGAGTGCACCATGGCATATCTGACCTAAAAGTCATAGAAGCGCCCATCGAACTTCAGATGATTGTATGATTTCGGTTGTCCATTCCTCCTTAAACGGGACCTCCCCCTACACAGTTGAGACCGTGGAAAATATGTCTCGCGATTCGAGCGCAAGTATAGTCACATAACCATACACATAACCATTACTGGAACACCATTGATTTCAAATCTTCGGAATGTATGAGCGCCTAACACTGTGCGCTAATTTTTGAAACGTTCCAGCCACGAGATTCAGAATTGGCATCATGCCAACCATCGACAGAACTCAGCGCCTCGACCAAAACTGCAGAGGCGCGGCACGGCGCCTTAACGCCTCACGGGCACGGTAAAGGAGAATAAACAACTTCCCTGCTGTCATATTTGTGTTTCTGATTAAATCTCATATTTAGTTTTACCAATCCTACTATGTAACCGCATCACTTCTTCACGACATGGTATCTGATACAGGACTTTCTCTCAGCCCCTCTCCAACGCCTTCGCACGGAGACTCTACAACGCTGAACGGATTTCATTTGATATTAACTGCCAAACAATATAGAGCGCATTATAAATCTGAGCGAGTTCAACCTTAAGCCTAGAGATGTTAGTGGAAGCGTTGCAGTTGTTCTCTGGCTCTCACAGCTTCCTATTCCACCTACCGGCCAACCTCACACTTGGCGCGACTCTTTCCGTTACACTACATCATTCGCTCTATATTGACAACGCTTTGAACTGTCTTCATGCGATCTGAAGGAAAGCACGCTGATGTGGACCTCAGAGAGTGACAGCTCTATCACACACTCGAATCAAATAAATTTTAAATACCGAAATACAATCCAACTCTGTCAGAATCCTTACATTTGCCCTGCTGCGTGCCAAACAATGTGACAAGAACTCATTCAGGAATTGCGAACTCATTCGGTTAACCAACATCCCATTCTTAACAAAAAGGGTAATATTTTATGAATTCGGGGGAATTTTCCTGAACGCTTACCCTTTCCTGAAAGGTGTTTTTCAGTTCTCGGGAAACTTGGCGGAAATAAGCCAAAGAATGGAATACAGGGCTACGAGCCAGGTTACGGTGCAGTTAATCCAAACGCGCCACTCGCGATCGGAAAGGTGAGATTTTTATGTTTGAATCATTGACATCCGATGTCTGATATCGACTCAAACCTTAATTACACTCCCTGAGAATGAAAAATTTATCTTCAAAATTTTGAGTGATATCTGATCAGACCGATTAAGACCCAATCGCAACCAATTTTCTGCAATTTCATGTACGCCGTTACGACACATGGGAATCCCGGTAGGTTAATGCGACCGGAAACATCACCCTTATCAATAGAAGACGCCTTGTTCCGACTACACGGCTGAGATTTGATTCTGTCAACTGAACCCCTACGTCACTTCGCATACTTGTCCAGCATGTGCAAACCAAATTCTCCATTTATTCTAAGCCTAGTTAATGCAGCTACCGAGTATCCCATCTTGAGTTAAAGAATTCCCCGTGCCGTGTCACTGCCGTGTTGATCAGACGGACCTGTGCTGCGAATGCCGTGCCATCTCCATAGCTAGACTACACGGGCTCAGTGGTACCAAGAGTCCAGCACATCCAACAGTGTCCCAGCCTTGAGTGTACAAGAATTCCCCGTGCCGTGTCACTGCCGTGCTGATCAGACGGACCTGTGCTGCAAATGCCGTGCCATCTCCATAGCTAGACTACACGGGCTCAGTGGTACCAAGAGTCCAGCACATCCAACAGTGTCCCAGCCTTGAGTGTACAAGAATTCCCCGTGCCGTGTCACTGCCGTGTTGATCAGACGGACCTGTGCTGCGAATGCCGTGCCATCTCCATAGCTAGACTACACGGGCTCTACGTACTAATATCCGCACAGCAACACGTGCCCAAGCCTGAGTACATAAATTCCCCGTGCCGTCCACTGCCGTGTCGATAACGACTGTGCTGTCAAATCGCGCCATCTCCATAGCTAACTCCCAGCGGCGTGTCACGGTCTAATACCAGCACATGCAACTAGTGTCACACTTGAGTTAAACATATATCCCGTGCCATCCACTGGCCGTGTCGAATCAGACGGTCCTTGCTGGCAAATCGGCCACTCCATAGCTAATCTACATGGGCTCAGCGTACTAAGAGTCCAGCATGCAACAGTGTCCCACTGAGTGACAAGATCCCGGCCGGGGGTGGCCACTTCCGTGTCGATCAGACGATCATGTGCTGCAAATCCGTGCCAACTCCATAGCTTAGACTACGATGGGCCTCAGGTACGTAAGACAGCCACATGCAACTAGTTGTCTCCAGCCTTGAGGTACAAGAATTCCCCGTGCCGTGTCACTGCCGTGTTGATCAGACGGACCAGTGTGCTGCGAATGCCGTGCCATCTCCATAGCTAGACTACACGGGCTCAGTGGTACCAAGAGTCCAGCACATCCAACAGTGTCCCAGCCTTGAGTGTACAAGAATTCCCCGTGCCGTGTCACTGCCGTGCTGATCAGACGGACCTGTGCTGCGAATGCCGTGCCATCTCCATAGCTAGACTACACGGGCTCAGCGGTACCAAGAGTCCAGCACATCCAACAGTGTCCCAGCCTTGAGTGTACAAGAATTGCCCGTGCCGTGTCACTGCCGTGCTGATCAGACGGACCTGTGCTGCGAAATGCCGTGCCATCTCCATAGCTAGACTACACGGGCTCAGGTACCAAGAGTCCAGCACATCCAACAGTGTCCCAGCCTCGAGTGTACAAGAATTCCCCGTGCCGTGTCACTGCCGTGCTGATCAGACGGACCTGTGCTGCAAATGCCGTGCCATCTCCATGGCTAGATTAAATGGGCTCAGTGGTACCAAGAGTCCAGCACATGCAACAGTGTCCTAGCCTTGAGTGTACAAGAATTCCAGCCTGCCGCCACTTCGCCGGTCGATCAAGACGACTCCTGTGCTGCCTAAATCCGTGACATCTCCTAGATTACACGGGCTCAGCGGTACCAAGAGTCCAGCACATCCAACAGTGTCCCAGCCTTGAGTGTACAAGAATTCCCCGTGCCGTGTCACTGCCGTGTTGATCAGACGGACCTGTGCTGCAAATGCCGTGCCATCTCCATAGCTAGACTACACGGGCTCACGTACTCCAGATCCAAGCACATCAACATGCCAACCTGATGACAAAATTCCTCGTGCCGTTCCACTGCTGCCGTGTCAGATCAGACCGGACCTGTGCTGCAATGCCGGTGCACAACTCCAAGTCTAGACTACCATGGCTCGCAGCGGTACTACGATCCAGCCATCAACAAGGTCCCCGACTGAGTGTACAAGATTCCCGTGCCGGCACTGCCGTGTCGATCAACGGCCTGTGCTCAAAATTCGTGCCAACTACCATAGCTAATACATGCTCACGACTAAAATCCAGCACATGAACGTAGCCTCACCTTGAGGACAAGATCCCTGCCGCCACGCCACGTCGATCAAGACGATCTGCTGCAATTGCGTGCCCCTCCATAGCTAAGACTACATGCTCACGTACTAAGTCCATCACATCCAACACTGTCCCAGCCTCGAATGTACAAGAATTCCCCGTGCCGTGCCACTGCCGTGTTGATCAGACGGACGTGTGCTGCAAATGCCGTGCCATCTCCATAGCTAGACTACACGGGCTCAGCGGACTAAGACAGCACTGCAAACAGCTCCAACTTGAGTGTACAAGAATCCGTGCCCAGCCACTGCGCGTTCGATCAGCACGGACCTGTGCCTTCAAAATGCGTGCATCTCCATAGCTAGACTACATGGCTAGACGGTACCAACGAGTCCAGCACCATCAACATGTCCCGCAGCCCCTGATGTACAAATGAATTCCCACGTGCCTGCATTCCGTGTCGGATCAGTACGGACCAGTGCTGCGAATGCCGTGCCATCTCCATAGCTAGAATACACGGGCTCAGTGGGACCAAGAGTCCAGCACATCCAACAGTGTCCCAGCCTTGAATGTACAAGATTTGCCCGTGCCGTGTCACTGCCGTGCTGATCAGACGACCTGTGCGCAAATCCGTCCAACTCCATAGCTAACTACTGCTCAGCGGTACTAAAGTCAGCACAATGCCATGTCCCCAAGCCTTGAGTGTACACAAATTCCCCGTGTCCGCACTGCGTGTCGGATCCAGACGACCTGTTGCTGGGCAAATGCCGTGCCAACCCAATACTAAACTACATGCTCCGCGGACCTACAAGTCAGCACAGCAACAGCTGTCCCAGCCTTGATGTATCAGAAATCCCCGTGCCCGTGCCACTGCCCCCGCCGTGTCGATCAAGACTGACGTGCTGCAAAATGCCGTGCCATCTCATACTAACTACATGGCTCAGCGTACCAGAATCCCACACGATGCAACGTGTCCCAGCTTGAGGTAAAAAGCATTCCCGTGCAGTCCCGCGTGCGATCAGACGGAATTGTCTGCAAATGCCACCAACTTCCATAGCTAGACTACATCGGCTCACGTAAAGACCAGCACATCCAACAGTGTCCAGCCTTGAGTGTACAAGAATTCCGTGCCGTGTCACTGCCGTGCTGATCAGACGGACCTGTGCTGCAAATGCCGTGCCATCTCCATAGCTAGATTACACGGGCTCAGCGGTACCAAGAGTCCAGCACATCCAACAGTGTCCCAGCCTTGAGTGTACAAGAATTGCCCGTGCCGTGTCACTGCCGTGCTGATCAGACGGACCTGTGCTGCGAATGCCGTGCCATCTTCCATAGCTATAACTTCGTATAGCATACAGAGTCCAGCCATAACAGATGTCCCAGCCTTGATGTACAAGAATTCCACCGTCGCCCTGTCGCACTGGCCGTGTCGATCAGACGCCTGTGCTGCAAATGCGCCAACTTCCATACCTAAGACTACATGGCTCAGCGGTAACTAAAAGTCCAGCACATCACATGGTCCTCAGCCTTGAGAACAAGAATCCCGTTCCGTCCAACTTGGCGGTCGATAGACGGACACTTGTGCTGCAAATGCCGTGCCAACCCAACTAGACCACTGCTCAGCGGTAACTAAAGGACCACACATCAACAGCTGCCCAGCTCTTGAGTGTAAAAATTCCCCGTGCCGTCTCACGGCCTGGTCGAGTCAACGAATTGTCGCAAATCCACTTCAACCCATACTAGACGAAGTAACACAGGCTCAGCGTATAAGATCACACATCAACGTGTCCCAGCCTTGAAGTGTAGCAAAATTCCGTGGCGCCTGTCCACGCTGCCCGTGTCGATCAGACGGACGTGCGCCAGCGTCATCTCCATACTAACTATCATGGCCAGCGTACCAAGAAGTCAGCACTATGCACATGCCACGCCTTGAGTGTACAGAAATTCCCGGCGTGCCAAGCTCATCGCCTACTGGTGTACGTTACCTCATCATCGCCTGTCTCGCCAAACTTCCTTTTAATAGCACCCACTGCCCATAGCTAGGAATAAACAGCAGTTGGGCTCAGCAGGCGTACTCAGGAAGCCTCCATCGGATGAACGGAAGTGCCCAGCCTTGATGTGTATCAAGAATTCCGGTGCCCTCACTGCTGGTGATCATACCTCGACGCTTGTCTGCAAATGCGTGCCACTACAAAGTAGTCCTGCAACACATTGGGTCTCCAGGCGTACCAAGATTCTACTCTCTGGTCACATATGCGTGTGATGTAAAATCTCCGGAATGTGTCCTTAAATCATCTCACCTAACACATCTAGTCTAACTTCATGTAAACGCTGACACTATTCGCAGCTCTAACTCTCCAGATGCCCATTCCCATTACTATCCAGTTCGCCTAAAATAAAAATGCGTAGTTGCACAGTTGCACGGCCCTGTGTAAGTCTTCGACTACTCAATCATCGTTACGAACAAAGGAGGAGCACCAAAATCACCACCACACTACCGCTCTTCATGACGAGTAATGCTTAATTTCTGTTCAACGTAATTTACCGTGTCACTTTCTGGATGCTGTTCCATTTGATTTTCTGGACGTCATACATCCTTCCTACGCTTGCATGCTGCCTACTGATCCGCCTCACTACATTTCGATAAAGACCTTCGCAGCCTGATCCTCGAAAAATGTTGTCTTTGTCTTTCTTAACTATATTCCGCTTCTTCTATTGCTTCACTATTAGGCTACCGACTCTGGTGTACAACAATGCTGTACAACAATAGTGGTTCCGCGCCTACCCGCACGCCATTTGTATAGGCACCTGTTAAGAGGTTATCTACGCAAATAAAGATACAGCAATACTTGACGGACAAATACTAGGGCACTCATATATAAGCCTGGAACGGAACAGAACTGTGAACTAGCTTTATGATCAGATTTAAATTTCACTATTCCAGACCGACCGTGACGCCATCAACCTCCCCGCAGGCTTCGGCGACATCGAAACACTCAAAGGAGGCGGTTTTGGATTCGGAAAGTAGAATACAAAGGGATCCAGTTGTGCTTCTATTTCTCATAGTATTCTTTCTTCTTTGTATTTATGAATTATTGCAATAGCCCATATGCAATAGGACCACGCATGCCGTATAGCTTTACTCCTTATCCTCTCTGGAGGCACTTATTTTTCGTTTCAGACTCATTTATACTTTGCTGCAAATTCCCGCAACCTACTAACTTTATCATGCTATATCTTAACGCAATATCCTCACGCCTTATGCCTTTGTAGTGGACAGAAGTTGGAAATTTGAGATGGAGATAGGCTGCTTTTTTGAGCAGGGCTTCCGCGTTCTACGCTTAGAAGGCACTGCCCAGGCTGCTTTTTTAAGCAGGGCTTCCGCTACGCGGAGAAGGCACTGCCCAGAGTCCTCTCTGTCTCTTTTCCTCTCAGATGTTCTTAACTTATTTTATACTTGTTTAGTATTCTAATAAACTACAAGTAAAGTTTAAAAAGGTTCTTATTCGTATGTTTGTTTATTGGATTCAGAAAATGGCGCGGAAAAGTTTGGAGTGGAGCCTAAGCATGTCGATGCAAACAAAGTGCCGAAAATTTGACTGCTCAGCGTTTAGTATATTTTTCCAACTGCCGCAGCTATCGAAGCAGATATCAAATGTCTATTGGTTAAGAATAAGGATGTCATAGAATAGTGGAAAGAGGCGTTCGAAAGCAGTACATAAAACCAAAAACAACCCAAATCACGGAACGCTTTTGTACCTGGATTTCGTCCGGTAAGAACGAAACCCGGCACATAGATGTTGTGCGCACGCGCATCCCAGGGCGGTTGACCAATATCGATCCCTTTCTTTCTCAACTTTTATTGGTTACCTCAGCTCCGTCACTCCATTCACCTCGAGGATAAGTTCTCAGATGTCTTCCATATGGGGGAGGGGGGGGGAGAGGGGTAAACAATGCTTCTTCTTCTTGAAAAAGGAAAAAA